AATAATTGAAATATTAAATAAATATTTTTAATTAAGATTAATTGCTTTAAAATTTGTTTTAAATTTTGCAAGCATCTTTTCAAATAATAATTAGAATAAGAAGATAATTGAGCATTGACAGCTATCAGCGTTATTAAAAAAAAAAAAAAAAAAGCATATGTATAGAACTAACTAAGCCATCTAATCAGTTCTAATATTTTGTAGGCGTGTGTAGCGAATTGTCAAGTCTTGACCGCATTTTCCTAATGAAAAACATAAATACATACACACATGCACACGACATACACACACTCATGCATATGCATGTGTCAAAAGTGTTTTTCACCATTATCACAGCGCAGAATTTTCCACTCGCAACGGCCGCCCGCTGATTGCTCAGTTTGTTAGGCTTGAACAAATATTGAATGTAGACTATGGACAAACGGCTAGATGACGGACAGCCCGTTAGCTGGCCGAGCCGGGCCAATCGGCCAAAGTGCGTAGTTGTTGTTGTTATCTCAAGTAGATTTCCACTCGGCACGAGACGTTCACATGTTGCTGTCCACAAGGCAACGCAACGCAAAGCAACGCAAAGCAAAGCAAAGCAAAGCAACGCAAAGCAAAGCAGAGCAAAGCAACGCAACGTAGTTCAGCTCATTCCAGTGCAGCCACCCAGTTTCACAGCTGGGCCGTCACGTCGTCCAGCAGATAAGCGGCACACTACGCGCTCTGCTCGTCATAGTCGCCGTCGTCGTCGCCGTCGCAGTCGACGCTGCTGCTTGGAAAGTAGCACGAGACAATAACGTGGCGATTGGAACGCGTGAGAGGCGACGCGACGTAGGAAATCACAAAGTTTCGTAATGAGCAATAACAAAGTGCCGTTGCTGTTATGACTATAGCTGCTGTTGTTGTTGTTGTTGCTGTTGCTGTTGCTGTTATGGTCAGCAATAGCAACACGTGCACTAAGCACGTTACGTTATCAACTCTAACAATAAACTAGTTAATATTTGTCTTGATACGCTTACGCTGCCTTCAGTTATTGTTGTTCTATTGTTGTTGTACAGAAGACACAATATAGTCGAAATCACGTTTATAGCTTGTGCACAGAAATAGCCTCGGTCTTGCGTTCAAGCACCTTGATCGTACGATCGATTGGCACTGATAATGCCAAAAGCATATCGTAAACGGTAAACAATAATGTGTACACAATTCAAAATTGTTATTTAAAGCGACTAAATAATAATTTCCTACTCGAACTATAAATAAACAGATTGTGCATGGTTGATACTGGGGGAAGAAAACTGTTATTCAAATTTAAATATAAATATGCGAAATGGACCAAAATAGTCTAGGGCTATTAATAATGAACGATCTCTGCCCATTAATAGGCCTTATCGGGCAATATGCTAGGCACAGCGAGCTAAGTTCCTATAAACTTACGTACATACATATGTATGTATGGACTTGCCTACATGCATACGTACATGCATACGCACATACATACATAGTTGCATAGTTGGCTGCGCTCAATTCAGCAGCTTATCAGCTGAATATATTATACTTTTTTGCACTTAGTAGGTTTTTGTAGCTATTTTTTTATTCTATTTTTTTTCTCATTTATTATATGGCACAAATATTTGCAATAATGAAAATGAAAACTGCGCACAACGGCCAAATGTTAAAAGTTATACGAGGCTGTCGTCAGAGGGCGCGCTTACGTCACAAGCATAACAGCATGCCTGACCTGGCGGCGGCTGCTGCTTTACATAATTGTAACAGCTGATCGCTGCTGCTAATGCAAGCCTCTACATTCTGAATGGAAAATTCCGTTACGAAAGCAAAAAGGGATAACAGTGCACTGGAAAATGGCACAGTGGGTCGACACTGTTGCAATACGCAAATTGTCAAATTGATAAATTGCACACAAATGTCAGTCCTAATTGAATTGCTTATGTTATTGCAAGTATTATTATGACGATGATTTCCATTGTTATTGTTATTGTTATTGTTATGGCTATGTGGGGCTCTATTGCTGTTTGTGCCCCCAGCAGAGTAACCTAATCAGGCTCAGCAACAGCTGCTCGTGTTTTTGCCGTGTGCCGGGGCCCGAAATCAACGGGCAGCATCTACAATTTACGTAGTACACATAGGCCGGCCCCGGCCCAGGCCAGCCCAGCCCAGCCCCAAGCGACGTGTGTGATAAGGCTGAGTCAGTATTATTATTATTATTATTTTTTTTTTTTTGCGCCAGCCACTCGAATCAAATCACACACACACAAGTTGCTCAATCGGGGCCTGAGCATGCCGTCAACGTCTGCCCAGCCAACAAGCCAGCTCGACCGCCTGCTTGGGGGGCGTAACCTTGAACTTGCTGCTGCAGCTGGTGCCCCCTCCCTTAATCCGCTTCAGCATCATCAGCATCAGCATCATTAGCATCATCGTCAGGGGTATCAAACTTTTTATCAGAATACATTGAGACGCATTTCGCACATATCAGCTTAGTACATTATATTGTGACTGGCGATTATTTGATTGTGAACCCGGGCATGTCATACAGCGAGCCCAGCTCATCGGGCCCCGGTCCCGGGGACACAAGGTATCAGTTTTACTATATGTTAATTTCGGATGCTCAACTCAAGAGCTTAAGCTAAATTAGCCTACTTTCTGCTAAGACGTATAATTTATGAACTATTCTATTGGGGCCATAATCACATTATAGTTATAGTTATATAATGAATCAACACTTACCATGTGCTACATTGTTGATGCAGTCCAGATAGCGTACGCCCTCCTCATCGAACATATATTGACCCTGGCCGCGTACGATCTTCAATGGATCCGAGCGATAGAAGAGCTTACAGGCTTGACTGCATTTTATTTCGTATTTTGTTGAAAAGAATAAAATAAATGTGAAATGTTTAAAAATATATTCTAAATCGAGTTAATCGCAAGCAGGTAGGTTCTATATATATATGGGCGTTTAGCTGGATTATCTATCTATATGGCTTTTGGATGGGGACAACCGGGGCCTAGGTCCAAATTCAACAAAGTCGTCATCACAGCTACAGCGGCTGATACGTAGAATATGACGACCTGTACTGGAAGACTTGGGATTATCGTTTATGTACATTTGTACTTAAATGAAGAATTGTGCTATTTGGACGGCTTTAGGCTGTGGCTCTTGTTGTTGAGCAGCAAATCGATAAAAGCCAAAAATAAATACCGCTACTTGCGGCGCGAGTGTTTGGCAACAGCCAAAAATGCGAACTCGTCTCTTGGCCCGTTCGTCATTGTTGTTGTTATGGGGCGAAAGAGGCGAACACAAGCACAACCCAACGGCTGCAGCTACACAACGGATGAGTGTGCTGCATGGGGATGCCGTTAGTTGACCTTGACAGCGAAATTGTTTAACGCAAGGTCAACTAATTGTGCGCATAACATAAGTGCAGCAGTGCTGCATATGCATAGCATTGCATAGCTTAACATAACATAACGTAAGGCAGCATAACGTAAGGATGTTAGCTATACGCCTGCTTAATTATATTGTTTAATTGTAATTATGTATATGGATTTGATTTAATACGCACCCAATGTGTTTGTTACGCAGTTTAATTGTCTCCGCCTTGGACAGCTGCTGGCTGGCCACGCTTTGCACTTGTTCACTTACAAACGGCATTTTAAATTTTTGTAGCTAAATTGTTAATAATATTATTATTTAAAATCGAGACTTGAGCGCGCGCACTTTGAAAAGTTGAACTGTTCCGGCAAGGATTACGAGTCAACTGAATTGAATTGAAGGCTGTGTATGTCGGTCTGACTGGCAGGCACTGGACGCCTTTAACGTCTTTGGGTGCTTAGAAATTGTCGCCGAATGACAAATTTTATGTGAGAGTAGAGCTATTTTATAACCAGCCCACTGCCATATACAATATAATATTATATATATACATATATATTGTATCTGTATGTATATACATATGTGTATGCCTCTGTTGATGTTGTTGTTGCTTTTGTTATTTGGCACTGTTGCCGTTGCTGCCGCTGCTGCTGCCGCCGCTGCTGCTGCTGCAGCTACACCGTTAAGAGACTCAATATTCCTTAATTGTGCCGCTGCTACTGCAGACGCTGTTACTGGCTGGCGCGCTCAGTTGCTGTTACTGTTAAGCGTCGCGCTGGCCAATGTATGCGTGAGTGCATGTACATACATATGTAAGTGTAGCGGCAACACACACGTGACTAGCACCTCTCTTGTTCTCGCTCTCATTCTATAGCCGCTGGCTGTGTGTGTGAGTGTCCGCTTGGTGTCGGTGTGATAACAGCAGCCAGCCGACAGAGCGTAGCGCAACGTGCGCTGTACGGGAACAACAACAACAGTCACAGCAACGACAGCTGAGCCGAAAGTTAGCCAAGTAGGAACKTTGTTGTTGTTAGAGATGCTCGCGTGCGTGATGCATGTGCAATAGTCATAGTCATTCAATAATGTGATGTAATATTTATGTATTATTTTAATTATTTATATAGCTGCTTATATAATAATGTTTAAAGGACATATACCCCTACATGTTTCCTATTTGTTTATGAAATTAAGATGTACATTTATATGTCATGAATATATAATAACGGCCTAAAAGTATGTTATAATTAAAATATGAATATATGTAATAATTTGTACATTTACATACTGTGATTTGTAAATATTATACATCGTTAATTGCTACAACTAAGATAATTGTACTGCCGATTTGTTTATATGAGTGAGACGATGATTAATTGCCAAAATATCACAACTACTTCGCTGCACACTCACCATGACAGACATATATATGTATACTTCGAAATTCGTCTAAGTTCCGTTACATTTGGTGTGACCAGCTGGTGCAACTGTGGAAATACCCTTAACAGCGCCAGCAAATACCAGCTTACAAATTTCAAATTGTACTATTTTTAATTATTACAATTATTATTTATAAATGTTATTGCATTTGACTGTTGTAATCTTATAATAATGTACACTAAAGTATAACTAGGTAGGTAACAAATTATGTAAGTCCAGCATAATTAACTCATTGTAATTGCAGCATGTTATTAACATACGTCTGAAACTCGGCCGTGCCCTCCTCCGACGGCAGCTCCATAATGCGGTCCAGCAGCTGCCATGTAATTAGCGGCTGGATCAAATTGTTTTTGCAAACATACGCCGGAATTTTGAGATCAAAGCTGCGGCAGTGCCACTGCGGCTTCATTGGCGGAATGCAAATGCGGTACACAACTTTATCGTTGTCCTTCAGATTCTGAGGATCAACAGGCTTTGCATTCCGTTTGGCTTTTATTGCGCGCTTTGCGGCAGGACGGATTCGCTTACGAGGCGCTGTCTTGGGTAACTCTAGTGGAAGCGGAGTTGACTCCGGCATACGCTCATTGGCGTTGTACTTCTCCCTCCACTTCGTCTCCAGTTTACACATCGCCTTTTCCTCATTTGCGCTTAGATTAACCGTTGAATTAATGCGCAGATAATGCAAAGTATCCGTTATCACATCATTAAAAAAACTGCGCGACTCGGGAATCCAAGTAGGACTCATGACAATATTAGACTTTTTACGTTTACTCATTGTGCTTTATCAAATCGTCAAGAAATACTCGGGATGGCGTAATATTATTGCTGTATGCTTTTCGATTCAAGTTAATCTCGCGCAGTGTGTGCACACAATATTTGAAATATTTTACACTTTTTGCCTTTAAAGGTGTTGCCACCATGCTTAACATATCCGTTAAACGGATAAAAGTTCGCATATGTACATATGTAAAAAAAGAGCTTTTTAGTACCATTTGATTTGCTGATCTAAATATGCATAATAACAATGATAAAGCATTTTAATATGAAGTACAATGACGGATCCCACAAGATACAGCAATTTGACTATAGCCTATATTTGTGGCAACAATTAATAACATTTATTTATGATCGGCGACTCATATTTATAAGATCCAAGCGTTAAAGCGGCGACCGCACTATGTCATAAAACAGTAAAAACAATACACAAAAAAAGTAACACCAGCATCCACTTAACACAAAACAATATCCCAAGGTAGATTTGAAAAATATATAAATTGTATAATTAAGTAAAGGAGCGTGCGACAATGTTACGCCCCAAACGGAGCAAAAGAAGAGGCGAAGTGAGTGCGGAGCAGGCGTGGCAGGGTCATAAAAACAATAACAAAATAAATGACAACAAGGAACATTTATCTAAGGCAAGCCGACCCTGAAATACCCTTACCGATATGTACGATATGCACTTTCTAACTCTTTCTCTTTCAGCCTCTCTAGGTCTCTCTCTCTCTTCCTATATCTCTGAGTAGCATAATAGATGAGCTGCATACCCAATGAGATCTTATCTTCTGTGTTTGATACCCCTTGGCAATATACTCCCTGTAAGGGTATAGCGAAAAAACACAAAATCTAGCAAATGCATTTACGACTCTCATCCGAAATTGGATGTTCGTCGTCGATGAGTCGTGGGATCGTGGGATTCGCTACAGACAGCTAAACGCGTCGCCCAACATTTCTAAGCAGTTCAGTTGCTCAATTATTGTTGTTGGTTTCGGCTATTCGGTTGTTCAGTTGTTCAGTTGTTCGGTTGTTCGGCTATTCAGTTATTCAGCTGTTGGGCTTGAGTAATGAGCACTGTCCGTCGACATGTTCGCAGTGCCGTAAAGGCGTTCAAATTAGTTGTAAAATCAGCCCGCACGATACATTTCATTTAATAACAGTTCGGACTTGTTTCTTCCCGCGAGAGTATATAATGCACACACGATGTCCGAATGAGCCACAGTCATCCGTCAACACCGTTCCAGTGAACTCGTATAACTCCTACTCAACGAAGCCTACAGTCCCAAAATGGCAAGTCCTTAGAAAAGTGTGATCAGTCGGAATACCTCAGCTCATGAATCTTGGAATAACAATAATAATAATAGTAAATCTCAACTATTATCTTTCTGATCTGAATCCCTCTCTGTAGCACTCCATTTCTGCAATTGCTTTGATCGCTTCTCTGGCGCTGTGCGCCGCTGATGTCTCTCATTTGCCCCTCTCCCGGAGCTACTTGCCTCCGCTCARTGGTGCCGGCGGCTACTCGGCGTACTCCTCGTATCCCTCGTACACGGGCAACTCCTACTCCAGCGGTGCCTACTACCCGAGCTCCCGCCTCGGCTCGGGGTACAACTCCGGCTACAACTCCGGTYTAGGCTCTGGCTATGCTGCTCCGCTGGTCACCTCTGGCTACAACAGCTWTGCRGCTGTGCCGCAGTATAACACCTATGCCACGCCCACGCGCACCTACCTGCCAGCCCTGACAGGTTACTCGGGTGCTGGCTACTCCGGCTCTGGCTTAGCAGGCTCCGGCTACAGCGGCCTGGACACTAAATATGCCTCCAATGGTGGCTATATCTATTAGGAGACGATCTCAAGCTTTGCTTGGAACATCTTCAAATATCTCAAATGTCTCTCTACATCTACAGTGTATATATTATATAAGTTTTTTTTTTTTTTTCAACGCGTAATTAATAAACAATTCTATTATTCAATTAAACATAGTCTAACTTTTGATTTCCGATCAATATTTAGCTATGAGCTGATCATAGATAAGCCTATGCTATGGATAGTATCTCTGATTAAATGCAGTTTAATTGTAGATTCGACTTTCACTATTTTAAGTGCGTATAACTGTGAAGACACTGTTAAACATAAATTGTACAAATATAAATACATATATAAATATATAACACGCGTAAGTGTAGACAACATTTAGAAACTATTAGTTAACAACTTTTTGGGGGTGATTGAGGACCGAGATGAGGATCACTTAGGGTACAAGTCGTGCATGCACATCATCGCTTGCGTCATCTCCCCCGTAGGGCCCGGATGGGAAGGCATCATCCCCAGCGCCTGGTACCAGGGCGTTCGAGCCTCGGCGTTCTCCTCCCCGTTCATTGACCAGCGAATGTATTCGGCTCGACTAATTGATTGAATGTGACGGGAATAACGTAGATTAGAATTAGTATTATATTTCTATAAATATATATAAATCTTGTCACTCACTCTTGTGTTTTCGAGCGGAACCTGCGTAGCCATTTCGCTGCTCTGTGCTTGCCTTTGCTGCAGGAATCTCTGCAGGATTTTGGGTACACCGAACTGAAGGGGTTCACGCTCGGCCGTATAAGGAGCTGTGCCTGTCGCTGTCGTGTGGGTGTGTGCGCTGATGCCTCTGCTGCTGGTGCTGCTGCCCGAGTCGCATACCAAGTCCACTTCGTTGCCGTCTTCCCGGAGCGGCTTGTCGCCAAGCGTTGCCAGAGGATTCTGGAAATGCAGGTTAATATTGAGATCGCGATGTCCGCGCTGCCGCCGTTGATAGAACATGTACCCAATGCCAGTGGCAGCAACTGCCATCAACAGTAGCGCGGCCAGCAGCCAGACACCTCGACCCTCTCCGTCATCGCTGCGGTCCGAGCGCTGCTCGCTGGAGAGCAGCCAATTCATGTCGATCTCGTTCGTGCTGCCATGGGGACACTGCTGGGCCTCCGGGACGACGGCATCGCCGCACATGCACTCGTAGCCGTAGTCGGCCAGGACACACATGCCGGCGCAGTGGGCGTGCTGGCAGGGATTGGCCGAGGCTAGCGGTTGTCGCGACACTCCGGCCACAATGATGTCCTGGGCATTCATCACGTTCAGGTTGATGGCCTTGCAGCTGCGCTGGCCGTACAGTTGACAGCGCACCGCCTCCCTGGCGCCCATATTGACGATGTAGGCGTGGTTCTCGTAGATGCTCAGTCCGGTCGGCTGCATCAGAGCGTTGCTCTTCTGCAGCAGCACATAGCTCTGCCTCTGCTTGGCACCGCCACGCCCCCCATAGCTGATCATCTCCAGGGTGCGGCTGTGCAGATCCACAAAGTAGAGCCTCTGCTGGTGGGGATCTGTTGCCAGGGCGGTCACATAGCTGCGATGCTTGCCCAGCAGCAGCTCCCGCCGGCTGCCGTCCAGGCGCGCCATGTGGATCTGGGTAATGTGCAGTCCGAAGGTTTCGCTGCGTATGGCCACGTAGAAGAGACGCCCCAGGTGTGCATCAACGGCAAGCGCCTTCAGACTGAACCGGGCCGTCATGTGCAGTATCTGGCCACACATCTTGGCCCGGAAGCTGCACACACTGATCTTCTGCGGCGCACTGCCGCTGATCACGTACACGTTGCCCGTCGTCCACTCCACGGCCATTTTGCTGGGCGTGCGCAGAGAGAGGGCGGCCATGCGCGTGCGGTCTCGCATGTCCACGCGGTAGATGATGTTCTCCTCCTCGCTGCTGAAGTAGCCCAGCTTGCGGCGCATGTCCACGTCGAAGCCGCTGATGCGCGAATCGTTCGCTGACCAGGCCACAGACAGCATCACCGGCTGCTCACTGAGATTGCGCACCTCGTTGTAGCTGGTGAAGAGGAGAGTCGCCCCGGACTGTATGCTCTTGCAGCTGCTGCGATCTTGGCGCAGCATGAAATCCGCATGGCACTGGCACTGATAGCTGCCCGGCGTATTCTCGCACAGCTGCGCACACGGCTGCTGCTCCGGCGAGACGGCGCACTCGTCAATGTCCACGCAGCTGCGCTGATCGCTCTGCAGCCGATAGCCCTCCAGGCAGGTGCAAACGGCGCCCGCCGGCGTCGCCTGGCACTTGTGCTGGCAGAGCGGCYTCATGCAGGCGCTGCCGCACTGCGGGCCCTCGTCGTTGCCATTCGTGCAGTCGTCGAAGCCGTTGCAGACACGCGACATGTCCACACACTCGCCATCGTGGCAGTCGAAGAGATGCGGCTTGCACGCTCGCCTCGCACTTGCACTTGCACTCGCACTCATGCTCGTCCCGTTGCCGAGCAGCGTGTGCTGCTCGCAGTGCTCCTCGTCGCTGCCGTCGGCACAGTCGCGCTCCTTGTCGCAGCGGAACTCCTGCCGAATGCAGTGCTTGCTGTCGCGGCACTGGAACTCGTAGATGCTGCACAGCTCGCCACAGTCGGCCTCATCCTCGCCGCGTGGGCACTCGGCGGTGCCGTTGCAGCGCGCGGCCATGTCGAGGCACAGCTTCAGATTGCTGCTGCACTGATACATGGGCGTGGCCAGCGTGCCGCAGCTGATGTTGGCTGCAGCAGCAGCRCCGTCGCTGCTGCGCCGGTCACAATTGAGCTCGTCCGACTGATCCCCGCAGTCGTTGTGGCCGTCGCAGACGAGCCGCGCATCTAGGCACTGGCCGAGAAGGCAGCGATGCATCTTCTCCGGGCACTGGCGCTGTCCGCACTTGTCGTGCTCATCGGAGGCATCGCTGCAGTCGATGCGGCCGTCGCATTCCCAGCTGCTGGCTATGCACGATCCACTGCTGCACTGGAACATGCCGTGCTCACAGCTGGCGGCCTCCTTGCAGCGCAGCTCGTCCGAGTTGTCGCCACAGTCGTTGTTGCCATCGCAGACCAGGGTGTAGTCCACGCACTTGCCGTTGTCGCAGGCGTGCTGGTGGGCGTGGCAGAGCTTGGTTCGATCTGAAAGGGATGAGGAGTATAAGAAATACATATATTCCTATATATCATGTGTGCACATCGTATAGAAGTTGGCCTACCAAACTGGGCGCAGTGCAGCTCGTCGGAGCTATCGTTGCAGTCCTTGTGGCCGTCGCAGCGCTTGTTCTTGGCCAGACAACGCTTGCCGTCATGGCAGACGAATTCCGACAGATCACACTTCACTTTGACGCGTTTGATGCCGTCGCAGTCCGACTCATCGGAGCCGTCGGCGCAGTCCTGATGCCCGTTGCAACGGTGCGTCATGGTCAGGCACTCGCCCGAGCTGCGGCAGCGGAACTCGCAGTCCAGGGCCTCGGTGCAGCTGCGATTGGAGGCGTCGCGGTAAACGAAGCCGGCGGGGCACAGGCACGTGCTGTCAAACTGTCCGGCACTGACGCACACATGCGAGCATCCGCCGTTGGCGTTCTGGCAGGGATGCGGGGACAGGCCGTCGCCCAGTCGCCGACTCGCGGCTAGAGGTATGCGCACGGGCAGCATGTGACTGAGGAAGGCGGTGGCCGCTGCGGCGGCACCATCGCGGCCCATATGCGGGCTCGCGTCGATCTCGATGCGCTTGTTGGGACCCAGGTTGTTCTTGTGCGTCCAGTAGATGGCCGGTGTGCCGAGCTCGCTCCAAAAGAGATCCTGATCGACCAGGGCCAGGGCGTACGGCCGCCGGAACTTGCCCCGCAACGACTGCCCATGGGTCTGGCGATAATTGCTGTAGCTGATGCGACTCGTGTCGCTGTCCGACCAGAACATGGTGCGCGTTTCATAGTCCACGGCAAACTTGATGTCATCGTCGCCCAGGTCGTCCTCAAAGACATGCGTCTGGGCGCCTTTTCCGCTCAGTGCCAAGCGATCGATGTGCGTGTGCCGGCGCGCCTTGAGCGCCACAAACATATAGCCCTCGGCTGGCATTACGGTCAGCCCGATGGGCCTCTCGTCGCCGGCAAAGAAGCGCACCAGGGCACGCTGCCCGGTGCGCAGGGATAGCAGCTCAATCACGTGACGATCCATGTCCGACCAGTAGAGATTGTGGGCCAAGTGATCAAATGCCAAGCCGCTGATATTTCCCAGATTGCGATAGACTAAGGTGACCAAACGCTGCTCGTTCATGTGGGGCACATACTCGAAGATCGCGCGCTGCATGTTGTCCGCTATGAAGAGGGTGCCATTGATGCTATTGAAGGCCATCTCGCTGATGTAGCAGGGCAGGTTGTGCGAGGCGGTGACCACATGTCGCCCGAACGAGGTGTGCTCGATCTCCAGCAGCGCCTGGCGCAGTCCAATGAACAGACGTTGCTTCTTCTCCGTTTGGCTGCAGCGGCGTCCATCGGTGGACAGCGTCATGCCCTCGGGGCAGGCGCACGTGTGGCCGCCCGCGCTCGGCTCAGCGAGCAGGCAGAGATGTGAGCAGCGCGCCATTTCACAGGCATGCGCCACCTGCGGCTGCTTGGCCGGATGATAGACGTGCACGGCGTAGATGGTGCGATCACGTGCCAATACCCGATGATCTTTGCCGGAGAATTTGTGGCAGGTGTGAATACTCCGGGTGCCCCAGTCCGACCAGTACAGGTGATCCTCAAAGATGGCGAGGCCATAGGGATGCTTTAGCATCCCATCGAGCACGGTTTGACGCGAGCTGCCATCCGGGTGCACACTCTGTATGCTGCCCAGCTTGGCGTCCACCCAGTAGATGCGCTCCTGGTGCATGTCCAAGGCAATGCCGTTCGGCCAGTGTATATTATCCGATACAATCGGCTTGGAGTGGGTGCCATCCATGGAGGCACGGGCTATCATCGGCTTATTGCCCCAGTCGGTCCAGAACATTTGGCCACGCTGCGGCCACAGTGCCAGGCTGCGTGGCTGGTGCACATCCTCGGTGACCAGCACCACACAGTTAAGACCATCGTTCGAGCAGACCGCAATGTGTCGCATGACATTGTCCGAGAAATATATGTTGTGCGTCAGCCAATCGACGGCCAAGTCCTCGGGAGCGTCTAGGCCAGACGTGAGCAATATCTCGGCCATGGAGCCGTCGGCACGCGCGCGCACAATGCTCTCCGCCTCGTTTTGTATGTTGGTCCAGTAGATGTGCTCGCCGTCGAAGGCCACGCCAATCACCTTGGTCAAATTGGTGGCTACAGTGATGACGTGATGTCGCTCCTTCGACTGCGGCGCTAAGTGCATGCCCATCACAGTCATTTGGGTGGTGTACAGGAGTAATGGAGATTGCTTCTCACCGCCAATGCTTGTGGCGTGGCAGGTGCGATTGTTGGTGGCATCCAGCTCGTAGCCTGCATCACAGGTGCAGCGATAGCCACCGGATGTGTTCTCACAGCGCTGACTGCACAGATCCTGTTGCTCCTGGCACTCGTTAATGTCCTCGCACTTATCCTTAAACTTGAGCAGCCGAAAGCCCTTGGGGCAATAGCACTCCGGTCCACTGGTGGGCATCATGTGACAAGTGGCGCCGGGCGGACACTGCTTGCTGGTGCAGTTGGGTTTCACATGGCAGCTCTCGCTCTCATCGCTGCCATCCGAGCAGTTGGGCTGACCGTCGCACACCTGAGCGAGCGACAGGCAGCTGCCATGATTGCGGCACATAAACTTGCCCATAGATGGCTGACACAGATCCTCTGCAGAGTAAAGTTCACAATGCTAAAGCCTTCAATTGACCAAATCCCGTCGAGCATTTACTCACCACAGTCCTTCTCATCACTGCCATCGCCGCAGTCGTCGACGCCGTCGCAGAGCCACTGCTTGCGCTGCAGGCAACGGCCGTTGGCACAGAGGTGGCCGGTGGTGCAACTGGTGGCCGACTGCTTGCAGCCGGCTGTCTCATCGGAGCCGTCGGGACAATCCTCTTTGCCGTCACACATAAAGTCAAGCGGTAAGCAGCTGTGATCCTGACACATGTACTCATACTGGCTGCAGTTACGGTGTCCGAAGCTAGTCACCATTCGATGCGGGCAATGGAGCTCGTCTTCGCCGCCGGGACAATTGTCGACACCATTGCATATTAGTTCCGCTGCCAGGCAGGCACCGTGTGGCTGGGCACACGGGAACCAATGCGGCTGCCGGCACAGCTTGTAGTCTGTCATCCACGGAGATATAAGATTTAGGTTAAGTTTGAGGTTAGATTCGATTTATAGCTACCGCATTCCAATTCATCCGTGTTGTCTGTGCAATCGCTACGTCCGTCGCACATCTTCGCCTGTAAGATGCAGACTCCGTTTTTGCACTGGAACTGATCTCCATCGCAGCGTGCGTGCGCTGATCCCGTCGCGGTGGCAGCAGTCGCACCGCAAATGAGCAGCAGCACTCCACCGCACAGGCACAAAAGCCACCAGGACTGCTGCACATGGCACTGTGTTCGCACATTATTCTTTTGGCTCAAGGCTGCGGCCCTGTTGGGATAAAATGCACGTGTGCATTTGAGGTTATGTTACGCAATGAGTCTCACTCCCCATTTCCATTTGCTACTCACATTTGATTTGTGCTCTTAATGCAGCGGCTTGTGGTCTTCTTCACCGCGTATTCGTTACTCATAAATTAAACATTAACGAAACAAAATATATCAAAACGTTCAACACAAATTACTAACACAATGCAACAAGCATGCGCAAAACTCAACACAAACGTTAAGATGCAAAAAGCGAACTGAACGATGCTCAATTGCAAGAAAGCGCAATTGACTTATTGCACACCCACACATGCATATGCGCAATTCGAAATTCGGCTAAGTTCCGTTACACTTGGTGTGACCAGCTGTAGCAACCGCTAAAATACCCGTTAAAACGCATATAAATGATAATTTTCAAATCTATGATTTTTTTATTTTGCGATTATAGCTTTTGTGATGTATTTAACTATTGCATTGTTATAATACACATGAAAATATACTGCGTTAGCATTATTTGTCCTTTAAGCATGTGGCAACTGCAGCATATTATTGACATACGCCTGAAACTCAGCAGTTCCCTGCTCCACAGGCAGCATCATGATGTGGTCCAGCAGCTCCCATGATAATAACGGCTGAACCATGTTATTTTTGCATACATATGCCGGGACCCTGAGATCGAACCTGCGGCACTGCCATTGGCGCCTCAGGCGCGGAACGTTAATGCGATATATCACATTAACGTTGCTCCTCAGTTTGCGAAGAGGAATTGCCTTTCCATTTATAATGGCTACTGGTAAACGTACTCTAGTACGCTTGCCCTTCCCGCGAGGCTGACGTGCTCCACGGAAATGGAGCTGCGGCATAAGCCCATTGTGGGCCTGCTTCCATTTGGACACCAGTTTGTAAATCTTCAACATAATTGAGCAGCTGCGGAGATTGAGAATCCAGTTCAATTTTAGGTTAAATTTTTCTGATTTTTCCTAAAACGTGACTCGAGATGACTTACTTGCTGCACGGTCCAAAAACGTTTGAACGAGAAAGTTCGATGACTGGCAGAATTTGTGTCTACATACACAACTGTCAAAAATATTATCCTTTGTGACTAGTGGCAACTCTACCCGTTAAATCGATTAGGCCGTAAGTAATTAGATATGCAACTTTTAAATGCAAGTTTGCTGATTTGCCGATATATGCAATTATGAGTACTATGCGATAAATATGTGTATGAATAATCTACGATAAATCATGTTAAATCATATGAAGTAACATGACTGGACTGGGATCCCAACATACAGCAATTTGACTGTTGCTTTTTGTGGCAACAATTAATAACACTAAGATTAATGATCGGCGACCCATATAAGACCGAAGCGTTAAAGTGGCGACCGCACTATGTCATAAAACAGCAAAAACAATGCACAAAAAAAGCAACACCAGCATCCACTAACACAAAACAATATCCCAAGGTAGATTTGAAAAATATATGTATAAATTGTATTATTAAAGTAAGGGAGCGCGCGACAATGTTACGCCCCAAACGGAGCAAAAGAAGCGGTGAAGTGAGTGCGGAGCAGGCGTGGCAGGGTCATAAAAACAATAACAAAATAAATGACAACAAAGAACATTTATCTAAGGCAAGCCGACCCTGAAATACCCTTACCGATATGTACGATATTCACTTTCTAACTCTTTCTCTTTCAGCCTCTCTAGGTCTCTCTCTCTTCCTATGTCTCTGAATAGCATAATAGATGAGCTGCATGCCCAATGAGATCTTATCTCCTGTGATTGATACCCCTTGGCAATATACTCCCTGTAAGGGTATAGCGAAAAAACACAAAATCTAGCAAATGCATTTACGACTCTCATCCGAAATTGGATGTTCGTCGTCGATGAGTCGTGGGATCGTGGGATTCGCTACAGACAGCTAAACGCGTCGCCCAACATTTCTAAGCAGTTCAGTTGCTCAATTATTGTTGTTGGTTTCGGCTATTCGGTTGTTCAGATGTTCAGTTGTTCGGTTGTTCGGCTATTCAGTTATTCAGTTGTTGGGCTTGAGTAATGAGCACTGTCCGTCGACATGTTCGCAGTGCCGTAAAGGCGTTCAAATTAGTTGTAAAATCAGCCCGCACGATACATTTCATTTAATAACAGTTCGGACTTGTTTCTTCCCGCGAGAGTATATAATGCACACACGATGTCCGAATGAGCCACAGTCATCCGTCAACACCGTTCCAGTGAACTCGTATAACTCCTACTCAACGAAGCCTACAGTCCCAAAATGGCAAGTCCTTAGAAAAGTGTGATCAGTCGGAATACCTCAGCTCATGAATCTTGGAATAACAATAATAATAATAG